TGGGATCATGATAGTTGGGCAGGGACTGCGGGAGGGGAAGGAAGCCTCAAGGAGCCAGAGGAATATTGTGTGTTTCATCTGTGCTATACGGCGCCCTGGTTGACTCATCCCTTCCTGTGGCCCTTCTGTGAGGGGGTGTCCACTTTCTACACATGGGCTTTGGGTCTCTGCTCTGAGCCCCCTCATTCTCAACAATATATTTTTTGTTTGTTTGCTGGCTTCTTAGGGGTCTTCTGATGCCTGTTACCCAATCCTGTCAACAACTCATGATAGTACAGGTTGGTGTGCTTCTTCCATGTGGGCTTGTTGCTTCTCAGATAGATGGTCACTTGTTTAAATTCAAGCCTTTTTGACCCTAGATGCTATATATTTTGATAGCCAGGCACCATTTGCTTTCTTTATCACATTTTGTCTTCAGAAATCGTGGCAGGAGGGTGAGCATCACAGAATGCCAAGTCGTTAGAACAAAGTGTTCTTGTGTTGAGGGAGGGTTTGAGCAGAGGTCTAAAGTCCATTCACTACCTCAATGTATTGTCATAAAAATATATGTGCATATTTTAATACCTCTGTTTTTATGAGTTAATGTATTTACATATGTACACACCTATGTGTGTGTATGCATCTGTACTTGTCTACAGAGGGGCTATGTGTGTCTGTTTCTGATTTACTGTACATGATACAACTCTACAGAACGAGGTTTGGGTCATGAATGAAATTAATTTTCTGGCCTTATTTATTTAATTCTAAAATACAGTTGTATATGCTTTACCTCTATCCATAGCTTTGCTTCCTAGATCTTTCCTCTGTTTCCTTTTACCTCCCTACTGTCCCACCATCATGTCATGCTCACCCTACTTTTGCCTCTTAGTAATTCCTCTCAGCTAGATTGCTGTTGCTCTGACACCCTCAGGATCTCTATGTCCTCCTTGTTGATTTTAATTCCCTAGTTGTTCCCCTGTCCATGGAGTTGTTTGCTCAGGGCTCCCTTCCCCTTCCTCCTCCTCCCCCCAAGTCCCTCCAGAACCTTGGGCCACTTTACTTTCTCCTGGAGCTTGCTTCCCCTGCCTATTTTGTAAAGGCAGACAAACCAGCAATAATGGGGACAAAACAAAAAGGAAAAAAAAGATTGAATAAAAAGAAAGTAATAATAACAATAACTAGCAAAACAAACAACCAAACAAAAAAGCATACATATTCCAGGTCTGTCCTCTGACTTTATGACTATTTCCCCACTGGTCCTGGGGGATTCCAGGAACCGCCCCTCCTAGCTTGAAGTCTATTTTGGGGGCTCCTGAGGGGCTTTGTGCCTCTGCTTTGCTCCTGTTGTGGATCTGCTATGTTCCCTTATTGGTTCGCCCTGCTGGAGGGTGGGGGTGAGGGGCTGGGGGGTGTTCAGACTAAAAATGGACTCCAGGGCAGACTGCCTCTTGCCTGGGAAGCTGGGGCTCCCTGTAAATTCACAATGAGAACTCTGCACTGTTTCCGGGGAAAATTGGAGTCTCTAATGTTTTCACTCAGGGACAATGTGCTGAATGGGTGTTTCCTGTATATGCGGATCTGTGCCAGAATCAGGTGCAGAAACCTAGCACTCCAGGTCTGAAAATTCTAACTAGTGCTGCTGCCTTCTCCCCTAGCAGTGGCCAGTCACCATCTACCTCCAAGTTGGTAGCATACTGCCTGGGTTTCTCATTGCTCTCCTGACATTGGTGCAAAGATTTCACCGTGACGCCCCTGCCTCTTTCTTAGACTCCTGCTCACCAGCATGGAGAGCATCCCAACACTTCTTTGGAAGTCTTGGACCTTGGAGGTCAAATTGCTCCCAGGTCCGCGTTTTGGAAGTGGAGTTGTCTGTCTTTTATCAGGAATTGCTGTCAGGCCCAGCCATTGCCACTGGCGCCCCCAAGCGCTCAGCTCGGGGGCGCCCCAGCAGCTCTCTGAGTTGCCTTGCTTAGGACCTTTGCAGAAGTAAACCAAAGCTGGGGAGCTTTGGGGATTGGCAAGGCAGCCAGCCCCCTGAACTCTCCAGGGGCTAGGGGGCAGGAAGGCAAGGGCAGCAAGACCTCAAAGGTCCGTCTTTCCTCCTTTATTTCTGGCTTGGACTTTCTCTTCCTAAAGAAAACTTTCCTCTGGGTAGCTGAAGAAGCCCAGCATGGCTCTTCTATCCAAACCCTTGGAGCGTACCCTGGGGGGCATCGACCTTCCTCCTCCAGCAAGACTGAAGCACCTTGCTGGTTTGGGGGAGGGACAGAAGTGTTGGGAAAGACCCCCACCTCTCGGGAGCGGGAGAATCAGAGCACCTTTCCTCCTTTTCTAGCCTGCTCCTCTCCCATTTCAAATCCCTTTTCTGCTTCTTTGGACCTTCTTTAGTGGCACCGACCGACCCCCACTGGTAAAGAAAGACTACAATCAAACCCAAGCAGGCACAAACAGACCTCACTACTAAGGTCTGGACTTTCACTTCTCTGAAGCTGCTGTGAGGCCTTGCTAGCGCTCCTGTGAGAGTCTTGGCCTGGAGAAGGGTAGGGAGGCGCAGGGAAGGGTGGTGGCCGTCCTCTGGCGCAGTGGCTGCTTGCCTTTCCCCACTGCCACATTTGTCCCTGCCTGTTTCAAATGTCCCTTCACTCTTTGGAACTGTTCTGAGGGATTGTCCTTCTGGGGGACAAATTCTGTAATCTTTGTGGGTGCAGCCTTTAGCGTTGAGGATGGAGGAGGAGCAGGAGGGAGTGTGGGGAGAGGGAGCAGCTGGTGGGGAAAGGAAGAGGAGGGGGGAGGCTAGGAGGAGGGAGGGAGCGTGGGGTGAGAGAAGCGTTTTCACTCTTTGTCACTCTTGAATGGGGGCGGAGAAAAAAAATGAAACCCACTGTGGGAAGCTATAAAAAGCAAAAGGGGCGGCTGGGAACAGAGGAGAGGCGAAGAGAAAGACCTCAGAGAGCGCTAGTCCGCTCCCCTGGCATCCAAGCGCCTCCAGCAGTGGGCGGCTGCGCCGTGTGAACCGGGAGATGAGCGCGCTTGTGGGGTACCTCCAGTCGCTGTAGACCCCTAGCGTCGGGCCCGGGGGCGGTTCCCAATTCCGCATCCTAGCCCCTGCTAACCTTGAAAGGAGGTAGAATCTTATAAAAGTTGAGACATCTAAAGGACCAGCAGGGAAGGGAGAAGAGGCTAAAGCAAAGGAAGTTCAAGGAGTGCGGACCTCCTAGGCGATTTCCAGGAGGATTGGAGCGCGCAGATCTCGGCTGGACCAGGGAGGTGCTGGGTGTCGAGCGGCGACGGGAGCGGCCCGGGCCGGCGGGCTGGGTCTTCTGGCACCTCGGGTCACGCCTCCTTGGCCGACAAGGCGCCTCGCCTTTGATTGCTTCCAGTTACTGCCGAACTTCCTGCCCTGGTGCAAAAGCGGGTCTCGCTGGGGTCGGATTCGCTCCTGGCCAGAGGCGTGAGACTGAGTTCCCCAGCCAGTCTGCTTAAGCCAGGAAGGGTTTGGGGACCAGAGTTTGCCAGCCATCGTAGGGTCCTGGCTTGCGATCCTCGCTCCCCTGGCATCCACACTCTCGTTTGCACCTCCTCCTCCACGGGGACCACTTGCTGGGAGATGGCTGCGCTGCTGCGGGGCAAGGACTCATCGCGCTGCCTGCTCCTACTGGCCGCGGTGCTGATGGTGGAGAGCTCACAGCTGGGCAGCTCGCGGGCCAAACTCAACTCCATCAAGTCCTCTCTGGGCGGGGAGACGCCTGCCCAAGCAGCCAATCGATCTGCGGGCATATACCAAGGACTGGCTTTCGGCGGCAGTAAGAAGGGCAAAAACCTGGGGCAGGTAGGAAACCCCCCCAAACAAACTCTTCATCAAGGAGAGGTGGGGACCAACATTCTTGCGTGCGCTTTATGCCTCTGCATCCAATTACCTTCGGTGTGCGTCCCAGGTGTGGAGCGCACCTCACTAGGTGGGTGGGTGGGTGGGTGGGTATCCAGGAGACAATTCTGCACGGATTAGGGTGGCTGGGTAACTGCTGGTTCTTGCGGGTACGGCGAAGGCGGGCCAGGGGTCTGCCTCCTTTTGCTTTGAGGCTAGTGTGTGTACCAAGAGCTCGTGCATTTCTGTGCTTGGAAGTGATCTGAAAGGTCCTTCTTCAAATTCAGCAGGGCGGTGCTGGGGCTGATGGGAATCAAAGCTGCCTGAGAGGGCATAGGTGCTACTTGGCATTGTACTAAGCATTCCACAAAGCTTCACGCCTTTAATCTTCACCCTTCTGTGAGCGAGCGAGGCGCTGTTACGTTCCGATTTTGCAAAAGGATGCAACCCAGGCATAGGGAGATTAAATGTCCTGCACAAGGCACAAAACTAGGCTGTGGCAGAGCGGGGCATTTCAATCCTGATAACTTGTGCGTCCTTAACCATTCTATTTTGCCTGGTTTGAGCTCCCCTTTCCTCCCAACCACTTTTTCCCTTCTAAGAAGTGAACGACTTGGGCAGGGACGACTCCAGTGGACACACACGTTTCTCACTCACGTAGACTTGTAAATAAGTCATCCTGGAGGGGGGACAAAATGATGAGGTGAGATGACAGTGTCACAGGAGCCAGTGACAGGGGCTCCAAGGACTTCTTAAGTTGGAATTTGGAAGCGTTCCTGAGAGAGAGAGCTAGCCTCAGTGTTCCTGTCTCTCTATCATAGACAGACAGAGTGACAGCCAGATGCATGCAAACAGAGGAGGCCCAGCGCGCAAGCTCGCCCTGGGGACACCTCCACAGCTCCCCCTTCCGCTCTTGCTGCGGACACCAAAGCGCCACCAGTTGGCCTCACCTGCAGCTCGCACAGCACGCGTGTCCAGCCAGGCGACCCCTCAGACCCCAGGTCCCCTTGTTCATGCAGGAGTCTGCCGACACGACATGAAACACTTTCTCTGACTCCCCTGCTATGGACACCCTTGCGTCCACCAGGAGTGGCGGGGTGAAGGCTGGCAGCATCAGCTGGTCCTGTTTGAGCCTTGAAGTGAAGCGCTCCAGTCGCTCTGGGCCCCCTACTGCCCTCTCACGGGGACAGTTGAGTTAGTTTCAGAGCTTGAGAATGCTTGGCGGACTTTGAAACCACCAAAAAAAAAAAAAAATCACTTATTCTCTCAGAGGAATTCAATGTGGCATGCACAGGGTTTATTTTTGGCTTTAAAGAAAAAAAATCATCTATTTGCATGTCCTTTATATAGATCACATACACCTGCCTACTCTTTTGTGATCCCTCTCCACATTCTCTTCCCTTCTTACTCTGCTCTTGGGAACACTAAGTTTCAGTAGGTAGGAGCCTGACAGTCTCTTCCAAGTCCATCAGGAGATGAAGGTAAAGATTAGAAAGAAATGAATGAAATGAAAAGAAAAGGTTCATCTTCAAAATAACAAGACTCTTTCACGTTAGAGACTAACTTCAATCAGCCTGAAATTCCAAGTGACCAGCTATTTAACGGAGGCTCCTGTTTAGTTTGCCAAGGACAGGGGATCCAGCCTGTTCTATTCTACCAGTGTCGGTTGCTGTGGAAGCAGAATGGACTATGGTAGCCCATAGGTGTACAAGCAGATCTGTGCTTCATAGGGTTTTCAATGCACGCACACTCTGCATTTCTGCAACACACTCTCTTTCTGCTCTGCCACTGGTCCTTAGCACCTGGTGACTCTCAGTATTTACCCATCATGCCAGCACTAGCAGTCCATCTGGTAGATAGGAATGTACCCTAGAATTTAGCTTGTCTGTTATATATTTAATATTGTATCTGTACATTCAAATGTATAAAATGTGTTTGTTTAATTTACCATCCCCCCAAGTATCTACTTAATCATGGCTTTTCAAGAGTTTTGTAACGTTACTTAAATTTTCTTAATACTTAAATTAAGAATTTGCTTATTCTACAAATGAGTTGAGTTTGGGACTATGATATATCTTCTATAACTTAACAGTTCTGTGGAAATTTATTTCACCCTGTTTACTAACCTGTAATACCAAAAGGAAAAAAAATAATGTGAATCTGTCAATTCCGACTCACGGGGACCCTGAAGGACAGTGTAGGACTGCACCACAAGGTTTCCAACGCTGTGATCTTTACAGAAGCGGTCTACGACCTTTTTCTCCAGCAAAGGGGCTAGGATGTTCCAATTACTGACCTTTCAGTGGGGAGCCACCCCGGTCTTGCACCTGTAATATGTACCAGAGCCTTAAAATTTAACATTGGGCTTCGAAGACAATTGCTAACAGGTGACATTAGCAAAATCAAACTTGGAATTAAATGGCAGGGAGATAGCTGGTAAATAGGATGATGGTTTTGCGCATATTCTGGCTTCCCATTTATTAGTGCATGATTTGAAATATGTAGTGCTATGAAGAAGCACCTAGAAAAATCTCTCTTTGTAGAAGTACGAAGAAGAATTCAGTTAATGTTTATGGGTCTTTATACCATCTTTATTTCCCTGGTTATTATTCTTATCTTGAATAATGGAATGACAATCCAAAGGCTATTTAATATTATGTGAACTTCCATTCAGAAAGAAAGATGCCATTTCCTTCTATGGAGAAAAAAATTCTAGAAATGAAATGTAGCTGAGATGCATTTTTGTCCACAATTAAGAGAAAAAAATGTGATTGATTGAGAAGGTAAACAGTGCTAACTGGTTAACTAGCTCTTTATGTAATGTAATTCTGCGGCCTAATCATTTTGACTGGCTACTTTCAGCCACTCGCTCCTGACTGGTGACAGTGAAGTGTATGTCTTTCAGAACATGCAAGAGGGAAGGTTCAGCTTTGACTAGATTAGAAATCTAGTCCCTGTTCCTTATCATGAAATGGAACTGCAATTTGTCTTTTTTTGATATTGCTCATTTACTTTATGGAAAAGGAATTAAAACATTTTAAAAATGATTGCTATTGCAGAAATGTATGCTTGAATATATTTAATAAATCATTAATCAAAAAAAGTGAAAATGAGACTTCTCGGAAACTCCAAAGCTTTCTTGATCGATCCTAGCCTGGTTTCATAAGAAGGAATCACTATAATTTATAGGAATTCTACTTGTAGTATAGTCATGGTGGGTTATTAATAAATGGATTCTTGAAAATATCCCGTGTAATTATAGGTAAGATTTATAGGGCATAGAGCTGGAAACAAAACCAAACAGGCATGTTAATGAATTTCATTCTTAGGTATATTTTAAAGATAGTTATGGGTTATGATGAAAATTGATATATAAAATCAAGTGAAGTGTGCTAATTTTTAGATGATTGGCATGGAAATAGTGAAACTGATTGTGCCTGATTTACTAACACTCATGTTTTAATTTGACCTTCTGATTGTAGCTGTTGTGCCTCGGTTTAAAAAATCATATGTGTGGTGTATGAGTATATATTTAAGATAAATTAAGTTGCAGTACACTTAATTTTTGCAGTTAACGTCTTCAATCTCCAGGGCAACCTCTTCACGTAGTTATAACGTAAAGCAATTTAACACTAATAACATCACAGTGGATAGATACATGTTATTACAAATGGTGTTTCTTGCTTGTCATCATCATCTCTAAAATTTGAGGTTTCAGCGTTTATGAGCCATTTTAAAACCAAACAAAAATCCAAACCATTACCAATATCAATTTTGTGTGGGTCGTTCATTATTTTATCTAAATGGAAAATCTTTTGGATTTGTGCTTATAGTTATTTCTTTGATTCTTTACTTGTCTCTTTGTCTTTTAAAGACAAGCAGATGAATTTAGTTTTAAGGCTCTATTATAGCATTTAAAAATATTTAATAAGTGGGCAATGACATAGTGACAATTATATTTTAAATGTAGATGATCTATCAAGCACGTGTCTCTGAGAAGGAGCTAAAAGTGGTTTAATGTACAATCATATTCCATGATTTTTGAAAATAACTTAGACACTTGAAGGACAGTGACCTAAAATAAAGTTCAAAGTAGAGTGAAACTGAAGCTTGAGCGAGTGTGCTGGAAAGAGCTAATATCTGCACATCGCATTTTCTTTAATAAAAATGCCGTCTCTATTTGCACACACACACCCCATGAAAGTACTTGTTGACATAAACTATACAGTCTCTTTCTACAGGTGATCGATTCACCTCCTAAAATTATCCATGACTTTTTAAAAAAATCCCAGCCCAACTTTCTCCAGTTGCACAGAAAATATCTGCCATCTCATCTGAAGATCAACTGATCTGCAAAACATGATTAGGAAAAACGCTCCATCTAAAAGGAATATTTCCAAATAGATTGAAATGATTTCATAACAATTCCCAATAAACTCCCCTTTCTTTTCTTGAAAATTGACAGTTGCCACAAGGGGAAAGTTACCTTTTGAGTAGCCAGAAAACAACTTTAACGATCACCTCGCGTTGCGCATCCATCATTTTGGTTTTGCGCTGGACTCTAGAGAGCAAGAGGACAAGGTTCCTGAAACTCACTCCAGCTGTGACTCTGACCCTGCACCAGTCTCCTTTAATATTTCTCTTCCACACAAACTTTCGCTCTCTTTGTTTCTTTGCAGGATGTTTCAAACCTTATAGTTCTTAAATCAGAGAATGCAATGAAATAGAGTGTTCTATTCAAGGAGAATTTTGGCACTCTCTCTTCTTTTCCCTACACAATCATTTTTAAATAGACCCAAAACTGTCTATCAAACTTTAGAGCCATCGAAAATACTTTTTATACTTACCATCTTCGACTTCAATCTTTTATGGATGCTTTATTTATTAGCCAGGACATAACATCGAACATGGAATACAATCTTATTTCTGTTTGTGACTCTTTGCCTTTGAAAGTTATTTTACTT